TATTTCTGCTCAGTGTCATTCTGGCATACTGTATACTTCTGAGACCAAGTGAGGTTCTTAATACCAGTACACAAAATGTTTGGATTGCAGGTTCCTCATGTGGTGCGACTTAAAACCCTAATATGTAAAGCAGTTGGTGTGTTGTTTAGTGTTGCTGGAGGTAAGGAGACCGAAAACATTACTTTTGTCATTAACAGATAGGTGGCTTTCTACTGAGGACATATTCCTAATACTGCACACTTCTGTGTATAATTATAATTAGATGAAAGGATGAGGACAAAAGTGTTACATGTATGCAAACCTGCTAATCCTGAAGCGATGGCTCAGACCCTCTGTGTTTTATTTCGGAAATTAGAAATTAAAATGAATTCATACCATATTTTCACCACATCTTCCTGACTGTTATGTTACTGCTATGTTTTGCATCATTCAGGTTTATTTGTCGGGAAAGAAGGACCAATGATCCACAGTGGTGCAATTATAGGTGCTGGAGTACCCCAGGTAGTAAAGTAACTTTAAAAATTTAATTATTTCTAAATTAGTAGGATCTTACAACCATGTGTCTGGTAGATAAATACTGATTGTAACTTATATGTGCGTAATACACAGTTTGTTGTTCTTTTTGTCAATGTTTCATTTATCTATAATTACTTTAAATTATTATTAAATAATCACACAAAATACACTTAAGATGAAATCCACTTTCAATCGCACGATAAAGCATTTCCTTTTTTCTTCCTTAACAGTTTCAAAGTATTGCATTTAGAAAAATCAACTTTGATTTTCCGTACTTCCGAACAGACAGGTAATTCTATTCATTGTTGGTATATTAAAGGAAGTTTTCAAATTAGAGTTGACCTGAGAGCTGAGGGGATTGTGTCCATCAAACGTGTTTCAGCTGTTCCAGCCTCACTAAATAGTCTCCTCAGGTTAATATGCTTAAATCTGTTGGTTAAACTATATTGACGAAAACATTTTAATTAATATATTGTGTATAAAAAGAGCACATGATTTGAGGTTATGGTGAGGTTAAATAGTGCTATAATTTTGTTATTACATGTACATGTATATACGGTGTATACAGCTGACATTCCACATAACAAGAATCTTGATTTTAAATGTGTAAGTTTTGAAATAACAGCAGAATGGATCTCAATTTAATTTTTTTTTCTTTCAAATCACATCAGAGAGAAAAGAGATTTTGTGTCGGGAGGTGCAGCTGCTGGAGTAGCAGGTACTGTTATTAGCCATTATAGTAATAATTTATCTTACTAGAAATCTATGTTGTTAGATTATGAATTAAAATAGTGATGACAAAGATTCTATTATTTCAAATGTAATACATTAAATATTCATTTTTTAATTCCAGCGGCTTTTGGGGCTCCCATAGGAGGGGTGTTATTTAGCTTGGAGGAAGGAAGCTCATTTTGGAACCAAGCACTCACATGGAGAAGTGTAAGATTACTTTTATTTCCAGTAGAACATATTGTAACAATGTTCGGAAATCAATCCTCCATGATTTGTCACTAAAACTTAAAGCAAAGTAAACAGGCCTATAAGTACACAATCTACATTTTGACTTTGATTTTTATGCTTGTATCATAGTTTTGTACTGACTTTGTAATGAGCAAGCTGACTAATGACACAGGCCCACATTGGAGCTTATAAATTACGGTTTAGCAGAAAGTTTACAGAAATGAATATGTTCATTTGTTAGTCTCCCTCTGGATAGGATGCTAGTTCATCACAGGTTGTCTCCTAGCATTTTTTTTAGTTTTCTTTTTCTTTATCCAACTGAGGAAAAACACTGTGAGAAGTAAGATATCAGACATGAAACACTGTGTTTGACCACATTTCCAAACACTGAGAAGAGAGTTGAAAATGCGATGCATAGGGGAGTATTTTTGATGAACTTTGAGGAGTTTGATTTGGTCAAACACTGTCTTGAGTGTTTGATTCATCATCTCAATTGAAACTAAAACTAAGTAGAAAATGGAGAAATGAAATCATAAAAATCTATGCTAATTAAGATCAGATATCCAAACACTGTCACCGTCATGATTTCCTTTGTCTATTTAAACTTGATGAATTATTAATGAGTTTGAGAATAAAGTATCTTTAGGTATTAGTTCTGGAACCTGGTCTGCCAGATCAAGAGTCCAACACACTTTGTCTCCTACGAACTGGGATTTTAAACATTACAAATTATGCGTAAAATAATGTTTCTTTCTTGATCTCTTTTTCAGTTTTTCTGTTCCATGGCTTCCACATTCACATTGAACTTTTGTTTGACTGGTATTTTTGGTTATGGCTGGGGTTTATTCAATCAGCCTGGCTTGCTCAACTTTGGAGACTTCAGGGTGCATTACCTAATTTTTTTTGACAATTTATGTATAATACTTTAAATTTTGATGTGGTGTATATTTCAAATGATTCCTATTGAGAGAAATGCTGTCATAATGTTCAGAGCAGAAAACAAAAACATGAAGGACTAATTTTCTCTACACATTTTAACCATGATACTGAAGGCGAGGAGACAATAGCAACTGTTTAATGTCTCAATGCAAATGTTTAATCATCTGTGAGCCCCGCATTTCTAAAAGTAAAACAAGCATAAATCACTTTCAGGTATTGATTTTTAAGACACAGGTTTTTGGTCCAGGAACCAACCATTGAATGCAGGACAACCTTCCATGTTCAAAGTAGATGCAAACAAATGGAGTTAAGCTGTAACTATAGTTGAAAATAAGCTGTACTGTGAGTTACTCATCAACTCTGACTGGTAGTTATGTTTTGATTCAAAGTGTAAGGAAGGAACAGAGAAGTGTGATCTGTGGAACCTACAGGATGTTCTGATCTTCATTGCTATGGGCTTTGTTGGTGGTCTTCTTGGAGCCTGGTTCAATGCTTTGAACAAACATCTCACAGTCCATCGCATCTTGCATGTCTATTCACGAGCTAAGCATGTTAGGTAATTTAATAACTTCAATAGTAAGTTAGAGTAGTTTTCAACTGAGTGTTTCAAAGTTATCACTCTGGCCAATCACAAAGGGCACAGACAATCTGGTGGACTGATGGACCAATCAAAACTAAGAGGACATACATGTGTCTGATGCGAAGCTTGAGTGTTCGAGTGAGTCACCACTGGTTTTGGTATAAATGCTTCTGATTGGATGAGAAAGTGGCACCAGTGTTTTACACCAAACATTAAGTGTGCTACTGTGGAAATGCAAGTGAAAACTACTCTTAACTTTAGTTATACTACGACATAACTAAAAGTTTCTTTTTCCACAGTAAAGACATCATGGGTATAACACATGATTTGATTCCACTAAAATTAATAATGAATAGCTGATATAAGGATCTAGGCATGCTGGCCCATCTTTATTTACTTGACAAATTCTTGTAACAAACATTATTAAGAAATTTTGGTAAGATTGATTAATATAAAGTCATAGAATGTCATGTTTCAAATTTTTAAAATGTTTTACCTTCAGCTGGTTATATATTGGTTCTTCAAGTCATCAAATCAAACAAACTATATTCTATGAGGATATATGTAAAATTACAAGTTGTGGATCATTTATTTTCTTGGATGGTTATTTAAAATAGCAGCTCCATAAAGCTGTAGTTGTACTATCCAGTTTGTACAGTCTGTTTTTGCATATTTTAGGATTCTTGAAGCTGTTCTGGTTGGTTTTCTCACCACTTCAGTTGTATTCTTTGGTCCAATATACCTTGCACGCTGCAAGACACTTCCTCCTGTAAGTCTTAACATCATCTTGATGCTGTATACAGTGTGACATGAAAGTGGAAAACTCTGAGATTCTCCTAACATTCATGTGCTCCTTTCCCTCCAGGCCAAGTCTTGTGTAGATATGTAATATAAACAAATAAGTTATCTTAAAGTTTGTAAATCAATACAAAACCAAGAATGGATGGTACAGATAATGGAACTTGTCTTAAGTTTATGGAGAAATGATTTTATATGTACTCTTGACTAGTAATAGACTGTTATAAGTATTTCCTTGCATCATTTATAAATACCAGTAAGGAGAGTTTGTATTCTAAAACCAATTTTATAATTTTTTTCTATAAATACGGCCTCATTGTATTAGTTGAGTCTATTTTGCAAAAAACGTTAGTGTACTAAACAATGTGCTCTAACTCTGATATTAAAGTGGAAAGCTACGAGATTCAACTTGCATTCTTGTTCTCCATACCCTCCTGCTCTAATCTTAGCAAATATCGAAAAAAAAAAATCTTTGTGCAATCAAAGATTAAGAGGGGTTATGAAGAATGGAACTGATTACACTAGAGAGATTATTTTAATATATAATTATTCTCTTGACCAGTAATAGATTGTCACAAAGATTTCTTTTGAGAATTTAACTACAACGGAGACACTGTACTTTAAAACTACAGTAGCTATTGTTCTCTAAATAGAGCTTCATTGTACAAGTTGAGTGTAGTTTACACATTTACAGAACAGTTTTCCTTTCTACAGGGCAGCACTAAGG